TCTATAGATTTGAGTTTCCCTGAAAGATTATATAATTAAAAATATCGATAGTGAATTTAAATATCGACCTAGATTTGGTTATCCTTGAAGGATTGACCCTGTTGACCAGTATCATAATTGCATAAGAATTATCTAGTGAGTATCTTTAAAAGATTGATCTAGTAAATAATCTCGTTGATTTTTAGATAAATTCATGATCTTTTGATTTTAGATCAACTCTGCATATTCAATATACTCTTAATGAAGTTATGTAACCAGAATGTTACATAGATTGAATCTATACACAAGTATTCTGAAAATATTTATGTTTGCTTGTATATTTGATAAGATGCATACCACTGACTTATATTGTTGATAGCTACAATATTAAATTTATATGTGGTGCCTGAAGCACATAATATAGTTGACAGCTACAATAAAATGCTCACAATCAAAGTTCAGTTGTAGTGCCTGAAGCATATAGTGTTCACTTAGAAATGATTATTATACTCCGATGCCCAACTTATATATTTGATAGTTAGCATGAGCAGTTGGATCATATGGCAATTATTTGTGATAATTTCTCTCTAAAATGCGTGTAGAATCAAACATTTCCCATCTGCAATTTATTGTTATGCACTATTCTTTTTTATCACCACAAATTCGTACATTTATGGGCCTATATTACAAACTAGGTATGCTATGATTTTTATACTCCGTCGAAATTTTAATACCTAGAGGCCGTTATAGGGGATCAGTTTATTATTTGGTACGTGTTTTGCATAACATATGAAGATGATTTCACGGCATTAGGAGAGATATGAGCATAAGTTTATTAATGCCGTGAAATATGCGAAATATAAAGTTTCCATTATTTGAGACCACGCAATAAAAAATTGAACTTGAAGTTCATATTATATTTCTGCCAAGCGAAATCTATAGTAATAATGGAGTGACCGATTTGTAAATATATAGATGTACCACAAAGTAAGCAAATTCTCAAGGGAATGATTGACTCTTTAGTGTTAGAAGCATAAGGTGATATAACTAATATCATGTATGAAAGTCCGCGGAAAATGTATATCTAAAAATTAACACTCCCTTATAAGAAACTCCTGAAGAGTTGGTCCAGTACATCTTGCACGTGCATCAAACCATTATAGTACTGGAAATGCGGAACGACCAAAATTTGATGTTACGGGAAATGATTATAAATATAGCTAGAGAATGGTTGAGAGAAAAATATAAATTGAATATCATAGTTGTCGACAACATACTTGCCTATGTGATTTCTTTTTTATCTCAAATAATGATCCGGATCAAAAGAATGAAAGTACTAGAAGCGCTAAGTTGATTGAGATAGAAAGAAAAATTAAGGCAAAGCTTTCACTCGCTACACTATATATCCCAGGAGGATAACATATCCCAGAAGGATAATGAAAATTTATATGAAATATGTGATGTGGTGGTATGATGTAAATATAGCGAGATTATGCTCATGGGTTTATGCAGAGACCCATATATTCATTTAGATAAGTTCTCTCATTATCAATGATTCCGCAAGTTATTTATGGCAGCATTATTACCATGACTATTGAGTCGTATGTGAAAGTCCTGGATGGACTCGAGTACCCGAGATGAAAGATAATTAAATAATAAATAACTTATTTATTTGAAGTTGTTGGTAAGATGTGGTACAACCAACTAAATTCTTCCAAAAGAAGTAAAGTAAGAAAAATTCAAGGTAGAACCTTGTGTATAATGATAATATACAAAATAATCATCTCGGTCAAATAGACTGTGTGGTGAACACTATGTAAAAGATTAAATAAGTTAG